GTAAGTGAGGAGGTATTCTAAAATAAATCTGAAAGATGACCTTAACCTTAAGCCATGCTTATATACGGTAACTTGTCCATTGTTTTTCCTGTGATCCAGGAGGAAAGATAGCAAGGAAATTTTTCAGGATGTTTTAAGCTCTTTCTATCACGAGAGGAAGGAGACTCTTACACCTCTGAGTCAGTAAGGGGAGGAAAATTTGACCTCAAGCCAAGAACAGCGACAGAAAATGACAAGTTGCTCTTGGTCTGAATAATTGGAGTAAGAAAGGATAATGGACTCTTCACAATTTTTCTCTTGTTTTTTTGCAACTTTAATTTTTATTCTGCATTAGTAGTGCCGCTCTCAATCAAAATGATAGTGGTTTTGTGACATTACCGATAGAAAAACCAAACCATGTCAACTGGAAAAATAAAAATCACATGTTGAGTAAAAGATGACTGAATCTTCCCAAGTGAATTATACTACTGATATCTGTGATTATTAAAGATAAATTAGATTGGTTTACCTAGTAGATATATCTATGAGTTGCATTATTAAGAATTTGTGATGTTATTTTATATCCTCCTCTTTTGAATAAATATCAGGATCAGCCCATGGAAAATGCCACCTTCTTTTTCATTGCTTTTCTGAGAATAATGGGCCCTGAGTTTGGACCACCAAATCATTTTTACAGCACTATCCAACAGAAATTTCTGTGATGACAGAAATGCTCTATATCTGTGCTGTCCCAGGTAACAGGCACTGCCCAGGGAGCTATTGAGTACTTGAAATGAGACTGTGAGACTGAAGACTTGATTTTTTTTTTTAAAAAAAAGCTTTATTGGGGAATTATTTACATACAGTAAACAATGTAGCCACAATTTCCACTCCCTGTGCTCTTTATTCCTTAGTGTAGATTCATATGTTCCTGGAGTATCATTTTCCTTCTGCCTGAATTCTTCCTTTAACAGTTTTTGTAGTGTGGATCTGCTAGTTATGAATTCTTTCAGCTTTTCTGTATCTGAAAAGTCTTTCTCTTAGCTTTGAGGTTATAGATTTTTTTTTTTTTACTGAATATAGAATTCTAGGTTGATGGTGATTTTTCAGTACTTAAAAATGCTTCTCCACTATCTTCCCACTTGCACTATTTCCAATAAGAAATCTGCTGTCATTTTATCCTCTGTATGTATGTGTCTTCTTTTCTCTGTCTACTTTTAACATTTTCTGTTTATCACTGATTTTGAACCATTTGATTATGATGTGCCTTGATGTAATTTTCTTCAGAATTCTTGTGCTTGGGTTCATTGAGCTTCACGGAACTGCGAGTTTATCAAATTTGGAAAATTTTTAGCTGTTATGTGTTCAAATAATTTTCCTGTCTCTCCTCCTCTTCAAGTTTGAATGTGTGCTACATTTCACTAATGTTTTTAAATTCTCTTTTAGTTCTGTGTTTCCTTTTGGATAGTTTCTTTGCTATTTCTCCAAGTTCACTAATATTTTCTTTTGCAATGTCTAATCTATCTGTACTCTCATCCAGTATAATTTTCATTCACTCATTTCAGTTTTAGTCTCTGGGTCGTTTCTTTTTTTTTTTTTAAGATTTTATTTTTTCCTTTTTCTCCCCAACGCCCCCCGGTACATAGTTGTGTATTCTTCGTTGTGGGTTCTTCTAGTTGTGGCATGTGGGACGCTGCCTCAGCGTGGTCTGATGAGCAGTGCCATGTCCGTGCCCAGGATTCGAACTAATGAAACACTGGGCCGCCAGCAGCGGAGCGCGCGAACTTAACCACTCGGCCACGGGGCCAGCCCCGTCTCTGGGTCGTTTCTATATCTTCCATGTTTGCATTTATCTTTTGAACGTATAAAATACAGTTAAAATCATTGTTATAATGTCCTTCTCTTTTAATTATAACACTGATGTCTGTTGTGAGTCAGTTTTAATTTATCAATTTTCTCTTTAGTACAGGTTGTATATTTCTGCTTCTTTGCATGCCTGGTGATTTTTTTTTTTTTTTTTTTGAGGAAGATTGGCCTTCAGCTAAGATCTGTGCCCCTCTTCCTCTATTTTTCATGTGGGACACCTGCCACAGCATGGCTTGATAAGCAGTGTGCATGTCCACACCTGGGACCTGAACCGGCAAACCCTGGCTTGCTGATAGGGAGCATGCAAACTTAATCACTATGCTACTGGGCTGGCCCTGGTGATTTTTGATCAGTTCTCAGACATTTTGAATTTTACCTTGTTGGATCCTTGATTTAAAAAAATTCCTGTAGATATTCATGGTTTCTGTTCTTGGATGCAGTTAAGTTGATTAGTTTGACCCTTTGGCTCTGTTTTTAACATTTATTAGGTGAAAGTCGAAGAGTGCTCACCTTAAAGCTAACTACTACCAACTACTGAAACAAAACCCTTCTGTGCCATCTAACTGTTCAGTCTGCTGGTGGAATAGGCAATACACTCAGTACTGTGCAAGAATCAGGGAGTATTACTGCTCATCCTTCCATGTGGGTTTTTTTTTTCTGGCTTTAGAGAGTTTTCTCACATGCATGCAGTCACTAATCAGTACTCAGCTGAATATGAATGATTGCAGGAATAATCTACATTTCTCTGGATGTCTCTTTCTGTGCAGCTACTCTTTTTAGCACTCTGTCCTGCAGACTCTAACCACCTTGCTATCCCCTGCTCCCTCTCCTCGACTGAGGGAATCTATCTGGCTCTATCAGGCTTCCCCAATGGTAAAAATTCTCTCAAGGAAATAAACTAGAGCAATCATAGGGCTCACCTCTTTTGGTTCCCATCTCTCGGAAATCCCTGTATTTTATGGCCTGATGTCCCTTATCTTGAAAACTCTTTTTCATACATTTTTGTCAGTTTTTTGGTTGATTTTAGTTGTTCAGGTGGAAGGATAAGTCCATGCCCTATGTTCTATCTCCATCAGAAGTGGCAGTCAAGAACTGGATTTTAATTTAGTTAACTTAAATTTAAATTTGAATATTAATAAGTTGTTTGTGGCTGTCATTATGGACAATGGTTCAGAAGCCGTAGGTACCAACTTCCTATCCCAAACTGATAAAAAAAAATTGTTATGCAGTGACTATTTTCAGGTGACATCAAAGGTACAAAGCATTGTCCCTCTAAGTTTGTCTTTAGGACTACATAAGCTGCCCTAAGGTGTGGTAGATTTCATACTACTGACTGAACTTGGTTGTTACCTGTCACTTTTAATACTGCGCTGTCATCAGGAAAGATCGAGGTTTTTGGGAAGTGACAAACAATTTGGACAGACTTCCCTAAGGAAAAGACCACGAACTGAGAACAAAAATTAGATTTGAATGTAAATATTTATTTGAAATTAGAAATAAAAAAAGAAATTAAAATTAGAAATCAATTACTATAAATTATAAAGTTAAAAATATTACAAATACCAAGGACAGTATAAAAACCAGAAACTTAACATAATATGTGCATTAATTGTCTTATACAACTCTATGCAGTCTTTAGCATGGTTGATTTAAACTTTTTACTTGTTATTGAAATATTAGAAAAGCCCTTTCAGGTTCTCAACTCGTGATTTGTAATGTCCTATAAATTTTTAGGATTGTTGTCAAATTTTGCAAAAACTGTCAAGTTTTCTTGATATAATGAACTACAAGAATTCAGGGCATTAAAAGAGTTCTTGTGCTATGAATAATATCAAATACTATTTGAATTGAGATATTGTAAATTAGTTTGCTTTCAATGTCCTCATCGCACAGACATAAGTGTTACAGTATTTTCATTGATGTCAATAGATCGTGCATGACAGGAGCAAACTTTCACTTTTACTAGACATCAATGAGATGCAACTACACCCAACAGTGTGTTTGTGAGACGTAAGCATCAGTTTTAAGTGAACCGCTGTAAACACTGTGAACTTCAAAAGCAAATTTGCTTGTTATTTTATCTCAAAATGAGTGTATTCAGAACAGCTAAAAGAATTGCAACTTGGGATATATGTACTGTGGCAAACCATAGGCAAACCCAGTAAACAAGAAGGGAAGCTGCTTTTATAGCGAAAAAGCAGGAGTAGGGAGGGGCTGTTCTAAATGAAACTCCGTTGGGGGAAAGTAACAGTTCAGGGGTTTCTCATTGGCTGGGCTGTTTCTGGGTGAGGAGAGAAATCTTCTTTCAGTAGTAAAGCAGTTTTACTTTCTGTCCAAGATGCGATGGACTATCTCTTCTGCTTTGGTGTAATTGACAATATATGATGGAGCGTGAGAACTCTGCCTACAGGCTTTTCCAACTTTAATTTAGTTAAGGCTTTTAAAAATTAACTTCCACAACAAAAAGAATAAATATCTTATTATTTGATTCATATAAAGTACAAAAACAGGCAAATCTATTCCATGTTCTTAGAAATCAGAATAGTGGTTACCTTGTGGGTGGTGAGGAAGGGGGTGAGAAAGGTTGAATGAAAAAGAATACTAGCAGTTTCCGGAGAGAGAATGCTATTCAGTTTCTTCACCTTGATGCTGCTTGTGTTTGACTGTCTTTACCTTCTTGATATTCAACGAACCACTTGCTTGTATTCTCTTTATTCATATTTTATTTCCATACAAAGTTAAAAAAATCAGCATTTCAATTTCTTGATGTTTGAATTACTAAACTTTTTTGTGTCTAATGAGAGTGAGCCTGTTGCTTTACACACCTATATAACAAGTCCTTAGAAGACGAATTTCATGAATTGTGGGAAAAGTAGGCTCCTCAAATCAGCCAGGACTGCATTCTTGGCAAAGTTTACTCACGTTGTCTGGGTCTTGATTGTGAAAGCATTGCCTAAGCTCAAGTTCTGTGAATGATTTTTGAAAGAGTTCTATTATTTTATCTTCTGAGGTTGACACACAATAGACTTGAATGGAGTTGCAGTAACTGGAGGATTTATGAAATCCGGAGGATATCACCGAGCTACTGCTTTGCACATTCCAAGAACCTGAACATGTTCCAACGGAGAACATGCCTAGGTTTATAAAAACAAATGAAGAGTGAGTGTCAGCATTAGCGTTCTGTAGGAATGCAGCGAGAATCGGGTTCAAACTCCGGCACTGCTGGGGCTTGTGGCTGATTTTTTTTCTTTTACTTTGCAAAAGTTTCTCATGGGCGGAGCATCTATTAATCCTTTCAATTCTCGAGCTGTGTTTCAACTTCCTTTTGGAGCAAGTACCTTCCTGTGCTAGTCAGAGATTTTTAGCAGAGGAGAACCTGACCTAGTGTGAGCAGCGTCAGCTGTTAAATGTACCCCTATAAGACCCCCAAAATGAGATTGGCAGCGAAGATTGTGTGGCTTGTCTTATGGACTGTGTGTGTTGCAGAAGGTAAGAGTAAAAACGGAAGACTTTTTTCTACAGCTATATTATCAAACAATGGCTAATATACTTTTCACAGTGATAATAAAAATTTGGTCTAGAAAGTGTGATTTAATTACTGGTCTGTAGTTTAGTGCGTGAGTGGCTTTTGATTTTAAGTTTAAAAAACATACGCCGCTTTCCTGGATGGCGTATCTGACTATTCGTCATAATTTTATTTAATGAAAAATTTCAGAAAATGTTTGAATGAATATTTTTGAAAACCGTAATGTGATAATCATTTCCCTTGTAATTATCATGAAATATAATTTAATTTTTTGGCTTAGAATTTTCACCAAAATGCTTTATGTGAAAGTATTAAGAGGTTTGTGAACATATATAGAACCAGAAAATAAATTAGACAGTAAAATCCTTCAAATCATATAATGATAGAATTTATTTCAGATATAGATGTTAACTCTTCCTAGGTTTCATTTATCATCTCTGACTGATATTGCCATGGTCTTAAAAGTCTTGTAGATAAGCATTACTTGTATCATTCGAATGATAGTATTATATAAAGGTGAAAAAAATTGAATATGCAATCTTTGTAACAGCTAACTTGTTCAGTAGAGTTTCTTCCTGTGATTGTATATAAGATACATTCGAGAACAGCAGCCTTTAGGAGTGGTCAATATGAGCGTAGAGTTTTTTTCTGATCTCAGTAAGACAATTTCTGGATTCATATTTAAATTTAATTCTATCACTGTTACTTGATATATTAAAAAGTTTCTTCTTGGAAATTTTCTCTCCTAGTTCATGATAGGTAACTACATATGTGATAGATATTTTGTTGCTATTTTCAAACCAAGTGAATTAAATATCATTTATAAATTCGCAAAACTTTTCACTGTCAACAAATTTTGATTGAATGCTTGCATAATGTCAGCTGCTGAGCATTGAGAAATATTATGAAATAACACAAAACCTCTGTCCTTGAGAGTGTTTCAACCTAGAAAATAAAAGCAGACATCTTTTTTTAGTTATATCCTTTAGTAATTTTTTAAAGTTTATTCAAGTGTGTTTAATACTTTTGGAAAGATAGCGCCTTTTTGCAATTATACATTTTAATGTGTTATTGCTTGATTTTTAGCTTGTAAGTTTTATATCCAGCCACTTTTTAAACTACGTGTACAATCATTTCCCTGCACATATACATATTACAATGAGTATTTAAAAGTAAAATATTGTTGTATTGGCAAAGAGTTCCAGAACAATGTTAGTTACCAATTGCAGCAAACACATTTTTCTTGACATAAATATTTTCGTCTTTTCTTCTAATAGGAATGCTTTTATTGTTTCCCTATTTACATATTGTTCACTGAATTTTCATGTAGATATCATTTGTCATGCAAGGAAGATTTATTTTATTTCTAGCTCGTGTTTAAAACTCAAGAATCGATGCCAAGTTTAATTAAACTGTTTAAGTGATTAAAAAGTGGAATTTGAAATATTATTAAAATCAGGTGTTACAGAGTATGTGACAAAAATTAAATAATAATGATTTAAACTCCTTGCTTATGTAATTGGTTCCAGCTGACTTATTTCACCAATGAACGTTTAAATGAGATATCAGTTTCAGCTGTGAGCTGAGCATTCGCACTATACATATTATAGTGAGAATAACTGTGAATCTGGCTATTTCCTAACAGATAAAGTACAACTTTGGTATTTAAAGCAACGCTTAGGTTAGCCTCATGATTTTCACAAAAGCACATCTAATGCACAAGCTAGTAGAGAAAAATTAGATAAATATTCAGTTGATAGAGAAGTGCAATTTTACTCCTTGTTTGCCAAATAGTTCTGAAACTAAATTAGTTTGAAATGTCAATCAACTCCATCAGTCTGCCATACTTAACAGAAATTTTGCTCAACAGAGTATACTTGATCGTTAAAAAAAATCCATGTATACGTCAACATTTGCCTCTGCTTTTATTATCCACGTAGACATAAATATGGAATACTAAATTGAGATATTGAGAAATACTAAACTGAATACTGAATGCTAAACTGAGAAATTGAGAAAAGATAGTTTTGCGTGCTATCACAATCTGCTGTACTCAACTAGACAAAACGTTTTAGCATTTCATAAATTGCCTCCACCCTGTTAGGAGGGAACATTCCTTCAAAAATATTATTCACTACTAAAGAGGAATAATGGCCAACAGGAAGAGCTTGTAAGCCCAACTTTCTATTTCTTTTCTTTTTTTATATACCAAGTAATACCTTTTTAATGCAGTAGGTTGTCTGCATTCACATTCCTAGCAGTACAGGAAAGTTAGCTGCTTTCCTGCAAAAAAATCATGGCGGGGGAGTCGTCACAGGCTACTCAGAATCTGTCCAGGTTTACAGGACAAAGTTCAGACACAGTTCCTCAATCCTCAATCATACCACATAGTTTCTGCTTTCTGGGTTGTATTATGACAAAACTTTTCAAGTAGAGCTTTTAGATTGAGGGTCTAAAAATTGCGTCATCCTTGAAATTAGCCACAGCCCAGAAATTTGAGGCTGATTAAAGTAAATTCAAATTCTACTGAAACATGTCCAAGGACACTCTGGCTGTGTTGTTTGGAGAGAGATGTTTTTTGATTCTGGAGGTTTAAAGGGCAAAACACTTCTTGCAGGACCTGAAATACAGTACAGATCAAAGAGAGAGAGATTCTATCCCATCAGAGAGAGGAGAATTTACTTTTTTCTATATTATATTGTTTCAGGTACAAGACGGCTTCAAATTTGAGTTAATCCTAATATGGAAAAGAAAAGAACTGATATAAATATCATAAGAATTAATTATGTTAATAAAAATTACTCTTTCATAAGGATATATGTGAAATTATATATGGTTATAATCCAGAAAACTTGTGATAATGGTTTATAATCCTAAATTCTATGTTTCAATTCCAGTGTGCTAAATAAGAATTCCCCCTCCCCCCATAAAACCCCACATTTTCAGAAATATTAGTGTTGGTATTTACCTATATGGTATAATTTAAAGTTTTTCAATGGCCCAATCATCTTCAATATCTTCTCTCCTTCTAACATGTCCTACATGCTGATGTTACCTTAAATTCAACCAATCTAAAGTTTATGTGGAATGACAAATGCTCTGAATAAATAGTTTGGGATAAAGTTAGTATGATTCACCACAATTTACTGTGAATTATTATAAGTTGATAACCTTTCCACAACAATCTTTTGGGGGAAATGGATGATGAGGAGGAGGGTAGGAACAGGATTGAGCAATTCTGGATGAGGAAGTAGTCTCAGGTGGGGTAGATCTGATGGGTGAAGTGCTGTGGCAAGTGCTGTGGGAAAGGGTAGAGAAAACGCCCCCAGGACTGTCAGGAACTCTAAGAACCTCTAAGTTTAGGCATATCCTGGAAATGCATTTGCTGCTCTTTTGCCCGCATATAATGTTAGACTAGAATGGAATTGTTTAAGTATTGCTAAAATTATTCTTAGCAAGAAGTAAGTTCCCAAACGTAAGTGGAAGCACAGGTTAGCAAAGATTCCTCATTTGTGGCGTTTGATTTTGAAGGCTGGAGCCAAAGTCTAAGTTGACCCATTTTTATTTGCTCAATTCCTGATTGTTCTCCAGCGTTTGCCACTTTTTCTTTTTCCCAGCTATGCCTACTCCTCTTCACCCCACACACCATCCCCCACCTGCCTGCCTGTGAGATTCTGCCAACCAATCTAGCCTAAGCTCACAACTACTGCATACTTTACCCGTTTCTTAACAGCTTTAACCAGCCTCAGAACACAGTGCATAAAAAGGACATGATGTAATTGAAAAAAAAAAGTGTTACATTTTAGTTTAACATTATAAGGAAACATTATAAAAATGGCTCAGAGAAAGCAAAAGTATTGGAACAGGAAAAAAAGTCACAAAAATAATAAAAGGAAAGGAGGAAAAAAGATTTGACAGAATACTTTTATTTGTTTTGACATTTTAACTGAGAGAGCCAAGTTTCTCGTAAACCTTGTTAACCAGAAATGTAATAAATAGAAAAGTGATTATAGAAATGTTCCTTTAAAGATTCCTAAAAGTTTTTTTTGAGGTAAGTTAAAATGATTTCTGACTTCAAAAAGTATAACATAGATTCAAGCTTAGGACGCGTGGATGAGACGTACAATGGAATTACAGATGTTAGAGTTTCTTGAGTTCACGCAACAGAAATTTAAGTGCACTAAACATTTGTTCCCATGTCTTCTCTTATCATTTACATTTGCTACCATCTACTATGCTCTTTCCACAAGTTGCCCATGATCTACAGATATAATGGAAAGGCTCCAAGAAAGTTTTATATTCATTCATTCTTTCTTTCTTTCATTCATTCATTTCTTCACTCAATGATCATTTTTTAAGTAACTGCTAAGTACGGGACACTATGACTTGCACTTTCCAAAAGGAGGTCACTTAGTGGGGAAAAAAGGAGTGATTGTGTATCTTATTAGCATATGGTATTTTGTCATATAAAGTATTGTGATGAAGATAAACAAAAGAGACTATAGGATCATTTAGGGAAGGCAACAAACCCAAATCAGAATGAGAGGATGGAATGGGATAGGGTTAAGGAGTTGGTTTGTACAAGGTACAATGAAATGAAGACAGAGAAATATGTCAGGATTGTGATGGCATCTTGGGTATGTTTTGATGATTGAATGGGAGTTCACCAAATGAGGATGATGAGGACACTCAAGACTCAGGAGACACTGAGTGTGTGTATGAAGGACCAACAACAGAAGTTCTGTAAAACTGGAGGACTGAAATCATCTCCCATATTTCTATTTCTTCCCTTAACTGAACTACCACAGTACTACACGTAAAATTGGGTATAGTGTTTTTTCTTCCCTTTCTCTTTTAACAGGTATTCCCAAGATTTTCATGATGATTATTAAGATGCTAAATCATTTCTGCTACAGAGTTTTCAGGGTCCTCATTTTAATGTCACCCCGTGACTGAGCTCCTT